GAAAACCTAGGGCTTTCATTAGACCTTTGATAATTAAAGTCCAATGGGAGATTTGCCTTTGACTTAAATGAGCATAGGATCAATCTGTAAGGTAATTTATTTTGGCTCTTTCATCTTTTGTATTAGCTCTGTCCAGTAGGTTTACTCCTCTGATTAGCAGGCATCTGACAAATTTTTCAATCTCTGCCAACACACCCATACAGTCCACTGGGGGGAAAAGCACCTTGAAGTCCCTGGTTTAGAGATTTGCTGAGTAACTGCTGAAAGATCCAGATTACTGAAGATACAGACAACTATTTGTGTGTTTAAGTGAACTGAATAGTTTCTCTTCTAAATCTAATTTTGCCCATGAGTTCTTTTATACTATTTTTCTTCCTTATTAAATGTTTGTAAATACTAATGTAAATAAGTCTCCAATGTTCCACTTTTCTCAAAAAAAGCATGGCTTGTAAGTAAAGGTATATAAGGAATCACACAGAATGTAAAAATCTGATCCCGCTCCCACTGAAATCAATTTATGGAGTTTTGTCACTGAGTGCAGTGGGAAAAGGTTCAGGCGCCAACTCTGAATTAATCCACCGCTGATGTAGAGGAGGGAGTCAGGGAAATACATTCTGCCCAGAAGAGACAACAAAAATGGGTGCTGAGAAAAATTTAAGATCCTTTTCACAATATAGATGAGCCTTATTAGATCTTGGCACAGCATAAGTAGTAGAGGGACTAATGTTGAATACAACTTTCCTGTCCATTATGCAAGTGGGGTGGCCTGACCCCAGAATCAAGTTACCATTCTTTAACTAGGATGGCGGGGAGGGAGGAGCTTCTCTGGGTTTTTTTTCCTTCCATCCATCTTCCTTTTTAATCTTTGTTCTTCAGAGCTACTCTGTCCTCCTTTTTAGTGTTTTACTTAACTGTGCTATGCCTGTTTGGTGTAGAGTTAAATACAGATGAAAATATTTCATATCTGTTCACTTTAGATTTGCTGTTAAGATACTTTAAATGAATGACTTGCCCCTGAGGTCAGGTGGGAGAGACAAAGAGAGAGTATAGGAGGAAATTCTCATAATCTTGACACTGAAAACCTGTCAAAGGCTATTATAAAGTGATATATTAGACTGAAAATTGTAAAACATACCTAACATTTTTTCTTTATTTTACTTAAGAAAAATTAAGAAACATAAAAAAATTATATTGATAGCAGCATTTAATATAGATATACCTCCAGGAAAACACCTGACACTGAGATCAGTCTATATGTCCATGACAATTGATTTTTAAAAAACAAAAGGTGTGCACAGTTTTCCACACTTCAAAAATTCTCCATCACTAATAGACTTCTTGTGAAAAATTTCTGTCACCAGCACTCATTTTCTCAGGCAAGACCCAAATGTGTAAACTCATGCTACTGTATTTTAAGAAATACTTAATATTAACCCAATTTTAACATGGAAAAAATGTATAAAATGCATAGCTAGTAACAAATCTCCAAGATACTTAAGCATAGATAACTAGATGTGACAGTATACAGTTAAACTAAACAATTTTGCATTCTACAAACTTTCCCAGATATTGGTCTCTAACACAGTATGTGATCACATGTGTGTGTGAGAGAGACAAGGAGAGACAGACAACCCTCTGCAGCAATCACCAATTTTTTTAAAGGGTTCAGTATAAAAAAAGCTGTGTTACAACCATCGTGAATTCCTTAGGAAACATTATAACAAACTCATATATTTCTTGTTTCAAAACTATACTCTTTTATAACAGTGATTAACTTTTTAATATAATTATTTATCACAGTCTACTGTGATTAAATAAATGCTTTACATCAGTTGAGTCAAACATCCTTTCTATTCCTAGAGTTTTCAAATCAACACAACTTCATTCATGTGTTGGAAAGAGGTTTCCCTCTGTAAGGATACTCTTTTTGATCTGATGACAAATGTTCTCAGTAGAACCAGATTCAGACATCTATTCTGGGGAAAATACCATAACAAAGACAAAACCAAAATTTTACAAACCCAGGGAAGGAAAAATATCTCGTAATGCATCTTGTTCTACTGATAAGGAACTTGAAAACATCTAGTGCAAAAATTCTGAAGAGAGAGAGAGTGTGTGTGTGTGTGAGAATAATGACATGCCACAGCAGTAGCCAAGTTTATTTCTGAATTCTAAATTATTTTCATCCATAAATGTAGTCAACAAAAATACTATGTAGTAATCACTCAGTCAATGGTTTAAAAGCGATCCTCCTGAAATGTTGTACATTCATAAGGTAATCCTTACATGAGCAGTACAGATTTCCAGCTGCTAGTTGTAATGAATGGGAGATGGAATGTATTTAAATCAAATAGCACCATCTAGCAGGCCCCCCATAACTTCACATAGGAGGGTAGTTATTACTTGGTGATAGCTCAGTTTGGCAGGCCTCACTTGTAGAATATTAAGGATTTTGATACTGCACGTTAAAGTAGTATTGCCTTATTGGTACAAAAGTTTGGAGGAAAAGTAAAGTAGAGAGAAAAAGATATATATTTTAACGTTTCAGCCCTAAGATTAAAAAAAAACAATACTGCAAAATCTTCATGATGCAAGCCATACAGGAAGTAAAACTAAACTAAATCTACAAAGGTCATCATTCTGAAAGTCAGATTTTTCTGAGGATCCCCTCACAGATTCAACAGCAAGATAATATTAGTTGGTTGGATTTTAGCACTTTTCAAAGTAGATGACACACAGTGGAAAGTACCAGGCACAAAACAGCTGAAATTCTTCTACAATTTCTCTACACAAGTCTAACAAAATGATGTTTGTCCTAATGTATGGTAATTTAATTCTTTTTGCTAAATATTTTTGCAAGAAGCACCAACAGTTGATTAGTCTGTTCAAGTTCTGTCTCAAACCCCATACCAGCAATTCTCATTTCCTGTCAACAATTCCCTCCGCCTTTGTACAATTCCCTATTTCAAAGTTATACATATAGTTCCCAAACATCACGCAATAACAATGTTTTAAATCTCTTCAAGCATCTCCCTCTCCTTTGTCTCTCAGCAAAGATGCCTGGCCTGCTACTGCTCTAGGAAGTGTGTGTGTGTGTGCCAACCTCTGGAATTAGGAAGTGCTGCTCCTCTAAAATGCTGCAACAAGGAAAACTTTTAGGTGAAGGTTCAAGACACGCTGCCTGAAGGAAACTCATCAGTCATGCCTGGACTATTCATTTTCATGTTAAATGCAGTTCTGGGGTGATGTGCAATGTGATTTCTGCACAAGATATATACAAATAGTTTTTCTGGCTGGAAGTCCCCTCGCTCCCTCAATGGCTTTATCCTGAGCTTTCACAGGCTGCAGCAGATTGACTGAATGGTCCTGGCCAGAAGAATTGAAGCCACATACTATACACTTCCTTCTCCCCCTCTCCTGTACTAAGCCCATCACACATGGGCTCTTCCTCCTACTTCACAGTAAGCACCTCCTGTCTGTGCTTCACAAATCTCAATAATGCAAACCAAGTCTGCAAGTACAGCAAACTTAAAGGAACACCATCAACTTGAAAGTCACATTTCTGTCTGTGTTGTACCTACTATAATTACCAATAATATCTAACAGTACTATAACTGAAGGAAGTTAACCAAGTCACTTTACTTCTCCATATTTTTCCAGTTTATTTATTTTGTGCATTTGGTTGTGCTGTGTATAGTCAGTTTCACTGTTTCCCCAGACACTCAGTCAGTTTCTCCCTCCCCTAAAAGGCATTTGTAAACATAATCAGGTGAACAGAAATACACCTATACAATTTATTTTAAAGGATGTTTTTAAAAAGATCAAGATATGATATTCAAAGGAGGCTTCTCAAAAACATTTTTGAAGATTAGTCAGTTTTTATAAATTCAAGTCCTTGGTGTCCCTTTAACATGTGCGTTGGGGATACAGGGGAAAGGGATGCCTCACTGCCATAGAACAGAGATCCTTCTAATTGTCACTGGTTGTACTGTTGGCACTATCCCACCACACACCTACAACTACACAAAAGCCCCCCACAAAAAAATCAGTACCATGTCCCCTTCTTCCCCAAACCAACAGGCCCTCATAATATCTCTGTATTCTTCCTACACAACCTCCTTTTCCCCTTCTCCTCCAACCACAACAACATCCCCACTAATCCCTTTTCCCCACCCACAACAGCCCCAGTTTCACTCCCAAGGAACAATGCACAGCCCACCCACCCCCAGCCCTTCCTCCCCTACACACACTAACCCGCTGTCCTGCCCCCACCCTAGGGAGGGATGAGGCTGGGAGAGCACATCAGGGCTCTGGCGGGGAAGGACAGGGGGAGATATTAGGTCCTGATAAAAAGTTGAGAGCTGCAGAGTTGCAGGCAGCACAGGGAGCTTCTGCCTCTCCCACCCCAGCGGGAGCCCCACAGCGGCGCCCCCCAGCAGCACGGGCTAGGCTCTTTGTTACCAAAGTTAGTCCAACACTTCCCACCGGCACAGACCCCCTTTGGGGACGGGGACAGGGGAGGGGGGCCTCCCCCAACCTTCCGCTCCTTGCCCTAGACCGTCACCCTCCAATGCGAGGGGCTCAGCCCCCGCCCGCGCTGCACCCCCACCCCACAATGCGCGGGGCTCAGCCATCACCTGCCGTTCACCCCGCGACGGGCGAGGGGTTCGGGCGCCTCCTGTCCCACCTCCCTGCCGAGCGCGGGGAACTCAGACACTGCTGCCTCCGCCACCCCCCAGCAACGAGAGCAGCTCGCAACCCCCCGGACCCTTCCCCCAGCTTGCCAGCGAGGGGCTCGTGCACCCGACTCCTAACCCTCGGGTCCTCCGCACCCCAAGCCCTGGCTGCCCCGCTCCGGCTCCCCGCTGGCTCCCCTCAGCTCCGCGACCGTGCGCGCGGCCCCCTCTCCGGCGAGCAGGAAAGTTACTTTGTGCAGGGTCTGTGAGGGTGTGTGCGCCCCCCGCCCAGTCCGCCTGTGCGGTCCGGCGGGCTGTACTCACTTCTCCCTGGCCTGGCTGTCGGACGGGACGCTGCTGTTGCTCTTGCCTTTGCCGTACATGCCTGCAGAGAGCTCCGACTGTCACGCACCTGTCAACCCATCACAGCCTCCCCAGGAACAGCCCCGTCACCATGGAGACACTGCCACACACACACACCATTGGTCCGCTGCACATTCGGGCACGCCCACAACACAGTGATTGACAGGCGGAGACCAGGACTGACTGCTCCCTCCTCCTCCCCGCTTCCCCCACCCCTCGGCTCCTCCTCCCCCTCCCCTCTCCCTTCTCCAGCGCAAGGGGGAATTTGAAACGGTTGTAGAAGGATTTTAAACAACTGGCTGTTCTGTGCGCTCGACACCCCCCCTCCGTCGCTGCCGGAGAGGGAGAGCGCTGGGGAGAGCGGGAAAGTGCGGACTGGATTCCACAGCCAGCGGCACCCGGCAGCTTCAGGCCCTCCTCCCGCCGCCCAGCCAGCGACACGGGCAGCTTCAGCCCCCTCTCCCCCCGACCAGCTAACCAACCGTCCCCCCTCCTCCCCCCACTGCTCTACCACCCACAGGCCGCCGCGCCGGGCAACGAGACCTGCCCCGCGGCTCAGCCAGCGGCAGGCGCCTTACCCCGGGCCTGGTGTTCAGTGGGGGAAGGTGAGATCCCCAGACAGCCGGCCTCTGCCCCACTGCTCAGCCAGCCTCTGCCCCCCTCCCCACTGCTCAGCCCCCAGCACAGCCGGCCTCTGCCCCCTACCCTCCACTGCTCAGCCCCCAGCACAGCCGGCCTCTGCCCACTCTCACCAGTCCCCCCTCCACTGCTCAGCCCCCAGCACAGCCGGCCTCTGCCCCACTGCTCAGCCAGCCTCTGCCCCCCTCCCCACTGCTCAGCCCCCAGCACAGCCGGCCTCTGCCCCCTACCCTCCACTGCTCAGCCCCCAGCACAGCCGGCCTCTGCCCCACTGCTCAGCCAGCGTCTGCCCCCCTCCCCACTGCTCAGCCCCCAGCACAGCCGGCCTCTGCCCCTACCCCCCACTGCTCAGCCCCCAGCACAGCCCCTCTCCCCTACCCTCCACTCTCAGCCCCAGCACACCGGCCTCTGCCCCACTCTCAGCCACTCTGCCCCCCTCCCCACTGCTCAGCCCCCCCCACCCCCCCCCCCCCCCCCCCGCTCAGCCCCCAGCACAGCCAGCCTCAGCCTCTACCCCGCACTGCTCAGCCCCCAGCACAGCCAGCCTCTGCCCCACTGCTCAGCCAGCCTCTGCCCCCCTCCCCACTGCTCAGCCCCCAGCACAGCCGGCCTCTGCCCCACTGCTCAGCCAGCCTCTGCCCCCCTCCCCACTGCTCAGCCCCCAGCACAGCCAGCCTCAGCCTCTACCCCGCACTGCTCAGCCCCCAGCACAGCCAGCCTCTGCCCCACTGCTCAGCCAGCCTCTGCCCCCCTAACCACTGCTCAGCCCCCAGCACAGCCAGCCTCAGCCCCTACTCCCCCCACTGCTCAGCCCCCAGCACAGCCGGCCTCAGCCCCCTACCCCCCCCCCACTGCTCAGCCCCCAGCACAGCCAGCCTCAGCCCCCTACCCCCCACTGCTCAGCCCCCAGCACAGCCAGCCTCAGCCCCCTACCCGCCACTGCTCAGCCCCCAGCACAGCCAGCCTCAGCCCCCTAACCCCCACTGCTCAGCCCCCAGCACAGCCGGCCTCAGCCCCCTAACCCCCACTGCTCAGCCCCCAGCACAGCCAGCCTCTGCCCCCCTCCCCACTGCTCAGCCCGCAGCACAGCCAGCCTCTGCCCCCTACCCCCCCACACTGCTCAGCCCCCAGCACAGCCAGCGTCTGCCCCCTACCCCCCACTGCTCAGCCCCCAGCACAGCCAGCCTCTGTCTGCTCCTCCACCCAGCACTTCTCAGTGTCTAGCACAACCAGCCTTAGCCCACCCACCCCCTGCTCAGCATGGCCAGACTCAGACCCCTGTCGCCTTCCAAAACTTTTTTTTTTGTAAACAATTTCCTGTTACAACTGTGAATAGTCTTGTTCTGGGGCCTAATTCATGATTTTGAATGTTTGGAGTTGGCAATACTACTTACATATGGAGGGTGTCTGATGGAGAACAACAGTCCAGCCCTGCCCTGCCTGTGGTGAGCAGCAGCAACTGACTAGCCCTGCCCTTCCTATTAATCAAATTAAATGAAAGGGCCTCAAACACACAATGTCCTGAGAACCAAAACTGTAGGATTTAGAACAGATTTAGTAACTCCCATATAAAGAATATTAAGAGAAATGATGTACTTTTTTTAAAGCTACACCAGGGACATCATTTTCATATGAAGACACTCACCAGTATTATTGTTTACTATTTGTCTTACAGTAGCACCCAGAAGTTTCAGTCAGAATGGAGGCCCTATTGTGCTTAAGAACACAAGAGCAGCCATACTGAGTCTGACAATGGCCATTGCCAGATGCTTCACAGGAAGTGAACAGAACTGGGCAATGTATCAAGAGATCCAACCCCTTTCATCCAGTCCCAGCTACTAGCAGCCAGAGGTTTAGGAGAGCCCAGAATGGGGGTTGTGTCTCTGATTATCTTGGTTAATAGCAGCTAATGGACCTATCCTCCAAGAACTTCTCTCATTCTTTTTTGAACCCAGTTATATTTTTGGTCTTCACAACATCCCCTGGCAACCATAGGCTGGAATGAAGGGTGCTGCTGCATCTCCTAGCTTGAAGTGGTTTCAATGATATACAGGGTTTACAGTTTGGTTCAATGACTCTCAGCACCTCCACTATAAAAATTGTTCCAGTACCCCTGCTGGCAATGAGTTCCACAGACTGACTGTGTGTTATGTGAAGAAGTACTTCCTGCTGTTTGATTTAAACCTGCTGCCTATTAATTTCATTGAGTCCCCTGGTTCCTGTGTTACGTAAAGGGGTAAATAACACATTCACTTTCTCCATCCCATTCATGATTTTATAGACCTCTATCGTATTCCCCCCTCAGTTGTGTCTTTTCCAAGCTGAACAGTCACAGTCTTTTTAACCTCTCCCCATATGAAAGCTGTTCAATACTCCTAATAATTTTTGTTTTTCTTCTCTGTACTTTTTCCAACTCTAATACATCTTTTTTGAGATGGGGCAACCAGATGGGCCCAAGGAATGGGCATACTAATGACATTATGATATTTTCTGTCTTATTATCAAGCTCTTTCCTAATGGTTCCTAACAATCTGTTAGCCTTTTTTGACTGCCGCTGCATATTGAGCAGATGTGTTCAGAGCTATCCACAATGACTCTAAGAGCTATTTCTTGAGTGTAACGGCTAATTTAGACCCCATCCTTTTGTATGTATAGTTGGGATTATGTTTTCCGATATGCACTACTTTGCATTTGTCAACATTCAATCTGATCTGCCATTTTCTTGCCCAGTCACCCAGTTTGTGAGATCCTTTAACTAGTTACTGATCCATGAGAGGACCTTCCTTCTTTTCCCATTATTGCTTACTTTGCACTTTGGTGACTGGACTTGCCAAAGTTTATGCTCGTTTTTTTTCCTCAAAAAGATTTGACTTCCAGTTTTTAAAGGGTGTCTTTTGTCTCTAACTGCCTCTTTTATGTTGTTGTTTAGCCATGGTGGCATTTTTTTGGACCGCTTGTTTTTGTTATTTGGAGTATACATATAGTTTGAGCTTCTATTACGGTGTTTTTTTTAAAGTTTCCATGCAGCTTACAGGCATTTCACTCTTGTGACTGTTTCTTTTACATTCCCTTTAACAAACCTTGTTTTTGTGTAGTTCCCCTTTTTGAAGCTAAATATTACTGTGGTGAGTTTCTTTGGGTATTTTCCCCCCTACAAGGATGTTAAATTTAATTTCATTATGGTCGCTATTACCGAACGATAATGCTTGGTGTTCTACAAGCATAGGTCTTGATCTTATAGAGCTCTGTCCCTGGGCTTCAGACCCCAAGCTCTAGCCCAAGCCCAAAGGTCTACACAGCTCTTTTTAGTGGCATAATGCGAGCCCAAGGCTGTAGACCCAGGCTCTGAGACTCACTGCTTTAAAATGCTATGTAGGCATACCTTGAGTGCCTTCCATGTGAAACTGATAGCAATAGTGAAGTCTCTACCAAACTTTATGGAATTTTTGACTCTTCTCCGTATTCAGGGTTAAAACTCTTCTTGGGGTACATTGAGTTATTTTTGTTGATTGGTAGGATGATGTTTGTGTCTAGTTTGGAGATTTTGTTTTGGGATGGTGGTGTTTGGGTACAGTGGTTGTCACTGTGAACATTGTTCTTCCAATGGTAGAAAGGCTTTTATGAAGAGGAAAAAATTGCAATGTTTCTTAAAGATGTTTAGACTCTGGAATCATCTAATCTTCTTTGGAAGTTTGTTCCATAACCAGATTTCCTCAGTTGAGAAAGCTGGGTCCCCAGCTTTCACATGTTGCATCCAGGGCACTGTACACATGTCTCAGTAGCTCCTAGATTGAAATTTGGCCTTTTATGTAGTTAAGGCTTGATCCATTAGGGGTGGGATGAACTATGAAAGGGTGGGAATGAACTAAGAATGAGCAAAATGAGTAGGGTACCAATAACTCTTCTTTTGTAGGTCCCCCCAAAATTGTAAAACTCATTCTTCTGGATCCCCCATGTCTAGTAATGAAATTCAGAAGATAGTGTCAGAACTGTGCTTTGAGATCCTCCAGTGAAAGGCATATAGAAGTATTATGACTTAATTATGGTGTATGCAAAGAACCAAAATACTCGTAGGACTTTGTTTGAGATTTGCCAAGTTAACATCACAATTGCCTTCACAAGAGTGCTATCATCTTGCATTATGTGTCATCAATACAATGCAAACAAAACATCACATGGATACAAAAGTTTGTTCAGTAAACAGATAGATTAACATGAAAACATCCGAACAGTCTTATGAAGTTTTGTGTCATTAGTCCTCTTTAAAAAGTATTACACATGTACATAAAACATATTTGTGCCCTTGCTCAAATCATTTTTAGTACAAACACTGTTCTTTGCAACAGCGTTGCATCTCATGGGACCAATATTGTAATTAATGAGATTTGAAACACATATACTGAGAGAAATTAAGATCCTAATATAAAAAAAATAAAGATCCACTGTTTTTGTTTAAAAGGGGAGGGGGGTTACTTTAAAGCTTCTTAGTCCAAAACTGGAAAGGAATTCACAATGTATTTTTAGAGTGTTATAAAAAATCTCTTACATAATGCTGATTAATTCTTAGGTTTGAAGGAAGAGCACTAGGCTTTGTGTGTCAGAGTGTTGACCAGATGAGCCACTGAGGGGATGGTTTGGGATTTTTTTTAACTTCTAGATACAGAATGCTACAATTATTCAACTATTACAGGATTTAGCTTTGTTTGGGCATCTATGAAGATTTTTCTGTTCCTGGAATCTGCATCTTATTCTTGGAAGTCTTTATCATTTTAAAACATATGTTACATTATATCACCCTGCCTGCGATAGAGGATAGCTGCAAACCATTTCTTCTTTTGCTTTTCTTTTACTGCAGCTAGTTATGTTGTGGAGCAACGTTAAGAATGTCTGCAGTGGCACATTATCAGTTCAGCTCTGTCATAATGGCTGTTACTTCTGTAGAGCCACTAGTGCTCCACTTTCTTTA